TGTATATATATATATATATATATATATATATATATATATATATATATATTTGATTTAGAAAGTGCATGAAAGCAAATATTGTAGTTTCATCCATCAGTGAGACATTTAGTAATCTGAGAACTGGCTTTTACAAACCGCTTATGTAGGTCCTCTGATGCAACCTTTTTACTGAGAAGTTTTGGTTGCTTTTGGTCTCTTTAAATCTAAGTCATATATATAATACTTTTTACATCAACATTTATTAAAATCAGTTTGCTTTTGGTATCCTTCTCAATGCTTTGCATAAGTGTGGGGAGGAGGTGGGAGAGTTGCATATACATTAAATAATTTACATTAAAATAAAATTATATAATCATGGTAGAGAAACTATTGGGTCGTCGGAAAAGTCATGACGTATTTTTTCTATGTTTTTTGTTGCAAAAATACGTCATGACTTTTCTGACAACCCAATAGAAAATATAGTTAAACCAAGAGCGAGAGAAAGACCCTAAATCCCTGCTACTCAAAGACAGCACTGTTCATATTTTGGTATGTATCCGTCCACATAGTACCATTTGATGGAATGCAGGTACTCTGTTAGGCACTTGTGTGCAGTGTTGGTTAGTGTGTGAAGGGTGAAAAGATGCAAAGAAATAGAAGATAAGGGAACTCATGTGAATTCAGTGGTATCTGTGGCCAGGCGCTGTGCTAAATAAATACTTTATTTACTTTTTTTGAGGGAGCCATTCTCAATCCCATTTCCCAAAAATAGAAACCGAGATTTTGGAGACATTCAGTATTTTACCTAAGGTCAGTAGTGGAATTAGGAAATGAGTCCAGGCCTTGTAAGCCCAGCTTACTCGTAAGACACGTAAATCAGACCCTGTCACTCCTCTGTTCTTAACCCCCCAATGGCTTCCCATCACATGCAGGAAAACACCGACTCAAGTTCCTAGTTTCTGAAGCACCTGTGTGGCCTGTTCCCCCAGTCCAGGCTGCCCTCATTCTGTTGCCATCCCTCAGTTCCCTCTGGCTGTGATACTCTGCTGCAGCTCCGCGATGGGCTCTGTCGCTGGGAGCTGCTTTCTCTGTGTCTTTGCCTAGCTTTGTTTCTCTTGGTAGCACTTACTTTCTGACATTATACTTTGCATTTATTTGTTTATTGCTTGGTTCTAAATACATAAGCTGTGTGAGGGCTGTATCCCCACAGCCCAGGACAATGTCTGGCATATACTAGATTCAAATATTTCTGTATGAATGAATGAATGACTATAACCTAAGAATTCTTATAATGCAAAAGGTAACTTTTGGCCTGTTTATTTAAAACGAACCCTTGATAAAATACGACTTGAGATAGGCTTAAAGACTGTTTGAAACTTCTTTGGAATCATATCTTTGGTACTTTATACCAAACCTTAAAACTAGATGAGGAGTCATTAAAAGAAAACATTGATTTTTCAGATATGTTTTATAGGCCTGTTATGGGCCACAAATAATTTTTCAGTGGTTCTTAGTTTAAGTTGTAGTAGACATTGCCACAGGGCTGAAGTATTATCCATCACTGAAATATTGTCTGTCATGATGAAATAATTTGAAAAAATTGTATCTTCTCCACAACAAAGATGTCTTTGCCTAGATTATATACGCTTTACCTAGATTCACCAATTGTTAACTTTTTGCTAAATGTATTTATTTCCTGCCCTCCCTCCCTGTCTCTCTCCCTCTCTGTACACACACACACACACCATTATTTTGCTTAACCATTTGAAAGTAAGTTGCAGACATCATGACAGTTCACCATAAATATCTTTGCATGTATTTCCTAAGAACAAGGATATGTTCCTACGTAACCACAGCACTATTATCACACCCAATGAAATTAACATTGATAACATAATATCTGACATGCAGTTCATACTCAGATTTCCCCAGTGTCAAAAAATGTCCTTTGTAGATACATTTTTCTAGTCAAGGAGCATGCATTTTATTTGGTTGTAATGGGTCTTTAGTTTCCTTTAATCTAAAATGGATCCCTTTCCCTTGTCCTCCCCTCCCCCCTCTTTTAATTGTTTTTCATGACACTGACAATATTTGAGGAATTGAGGTTGACAGCCTGAATTTGTTTTCTCATGGTTAGATTCAGATTAAACAGTTTTTTTGGCAAGAAAAATGGCATAGATAAATAATAAGTTTTCAAGCTTGAGGAAATTTAGAAAGAACAGGAAAGGGTCACTTCTTTTCTCTTTGTTTCTGCAGCATCCTGAACACTAACAGTTTGCTCTGTGACTGCCACTTGAAGTGGTTGCTTCAGTGGCTGGTTGATAATAACTTCCAGCACTCCGTGAACGTAAGCTGTGCGCACCCTGAATGGCTGGCAGGGCAAAGCATCCTGAATGTGGATCTGAAAGATTTTGTCTGTGGTTTGTAACTTTGCTTTCAAATTTCGTATATTACACACTTAACTATCCTAACAACAGAACTTAAAAAAATTAAATCAGAATGCTTTCCCGTTAGTATTTATTTCTATTTCCCTATGTTTCTCTGAAACATTTTTATATTTGTTGTAATCGTAGGTTAACTTTTATATTCTTTGACTTTATATATCATAAGCAGTTGTTTTCCTCTGTGTGTTCCTAAATGACCATTTTTAACGTCAGTATAAAAGCATCTTTATGAATGTAGGCCTTTACTTTTCAGGGCAATTGTTAACCTTAGAATAAATATCCAGTAGTAAGATTCCTGAATCAAAAAGTATGACTTTTGTTCACATGACTTCATTCAAAAGTATAATTTTTTTTTTCTAAAGATTTTTATTGGGGAATTGGGG